GCGCGAAGTCAACCGCGTTAGCACCCTGGACAGCGCATCCGGGCGCGGCTGAGCAGCCCGCACCCTCTCCCCTCGCCCGCTGCGGGAGCTCTGCACGCGTCCCGCCCACTCCGCCTCCAGCTCCTGCGTACTGTCTGTCTCTCGCCCTTATGATTCAGCTCCCTCCCTCTACCATTTTTGCCTCCGCCGCCCCCGATCCAACAGTTTTGGGTCCCCTCTCCTTCAAAATCATTCGGGCGCTCAGCGCTTGCTTTCCCCTCTCCGGGCTGTGAGAACCCTCCGGTCCCCTCTTCTATTTAACATTCATGGCTCTCAGAGCGTTGCCACTTCTCAAAGCCTTAACTAACTAAAACACACAACACACGTGCGGACGCACACGCAGACACGCATATTTCCTGTCCCTGAGTGAAACCCACACTCTGCCTCGTGGCTGCGCAGGTCCCGGCGCGGCGCCCTCCTCCTTCCACACACACGCGCGCACACACGCGCGTACACACGCACGCACGCGCGCGCGCGCAGGACCCAGCCGAGGGCAGCTCGCCGACACTTGGCTTTCGGAGGCGATCTGCTCCCGTCTCGCAGCGCCGATGGCTTCTCCGGGCTCCGGTTTTTGGTCCTTCGGATCTGAAGATGGCTCCGGGGATCCCGAGAACCCCGGCACAGGTAGGAAAATCAGGACCTGCAGCAGGCGAGCTTTTGAGGGTGGGCTGGGATTTGCGGAGCTGGGGAAGACGAAGGAGGTTTTCCAAATGCAACAGGAAACTTCAGCGGCTTCGCCCTGCTCTCGGGCTAAGTCCCGATGGCCCAAGAGCTCAGAATCCCCACAGGTCTTTGTCCCCTAAGAAGACGCCCCAAGAATGCTGGGCCCCTTTCCGCAAGTCTGAGCGAGCCTTCCCATCAGAAGCGTCTCCTCGACCCTCGGTTCCGCGGGCCTGGGACACTGCCACCATCTTGGTGTCTGGACCCCGGGGAGGGACGGAGTCGCAGTGGGGAAAGAATGATTTGGAAAGGAGACAATTCTTGGTTTGGAAGGAGAGCCTGCAGGAAAGGGACCGGCTCGGTGTCTAGGAAAACTGGCCCAAGAGAGGCAGGAAAGGGGGGAGTTTGCCTGAACCGACTGGCACTTAGAAGGCAAAAGCAAGGGGGCGCGATGTGAGCTTCTCCTTGGGGAAAGAAACAGAAAACCGGGCCCGGCGGGAACGCCAGCTCCCGAGCCACCTCCCGCGCCTGCCTGCGGTGCCGAACCCTGGGCGGCCGCTCCCTGGACCCCAGGTTTATTAACGTTGTTCACATAGAACGAAATTTCACGCGTCCGTCTGTCTGCTCTTCTCTTCCTGCCTCGCGGGCCTCGTGCGTGCCTTTCCTCACAGCCAGAGCCTGGTGTCAGGTGGCCCAGAAGTTCACGGGCGGCATCGGAAACAAGCTGTGTGGTGAGTGTCGGAGCCCAGGGGCGGGCGGCGAACAGGGCCAGGCGCAGAGCCACGTTCTCAGCTCTGCACCCCCAGCAGCGGAGTCGGGGTCGCAGGGTCCGGGGTGGGCGGGGGCGGGGAGCCCGGCCCTGCGGGGCGCTCACGGAGGTCCGCGTTGCGTGTCCTTGCCCAGCTCTGCTCTACGGAGACTCGGAGAAGCCGGCGGAGAACGGCGGGAGCGAGCCCCCGCGGGCCACCTCCCGGAAGGCCGCCTGTGCCTGCAACCAGAAGCCCTGCAGCTGTCCCAAAGCCGACGTCAACTACGCGTTTCTACACGCAACAGGTAAAGGCTCCTAGTTGCGCCCCGGGGTGCCACTGCCCTCGCTCTGCCCCGCCCACCGCCTCGGGGAGGAACCCGCGCCTGGAGCCGGACCCCAGGCTTCCCGGTGGAAGACGGAGGTCAACCTTGGGAGAACCTTCCGCTGAAAGTGAGACCCGCAGGGCCTGCCCCGGGAGTGGGAAACCCGACCCCGGGCTCTGCGCCGCGCTGCGCGCCGGGCGCCCGCGTTGGAAGGGGGCTCTCCGGCGCCGCGCTCTTACCCTAGCGCCGCCCTTGGGGTCGCGCGTGGCCGTGGTGCCCGCTAGCGCGGAGCTCCCGGTGAGCTTCTTGGTGCCGCCGAGGCCTCGGGGGGGACTCGGTTTCCAGTTCCGAAGTGCAAAGACTCTCTAAGTCTTTAGATCGCAAGAGTAATTTGTAGCTGCGATTTCATCGGAGAACGATTCTATTCACGTGAGAACCGCACGCCGTGTTGCTCCCTTGCGTTTACATACCTGGTCATGCAAACACGCACGGGGATCACATAAACACATACACTGACTTTGGAAACGGGGGCCTTCCTAATAGGCCAGAGATCCTAACTTTGCATGTTCCGCTTTGCCTGGTTTGCCCAAAGGCCTTCCTCAAACATTTCCGACGTGGAGAATTTCCATAATCATTTAGGATGATTTTCTGAGAAATAACATTTAGGCGAACCCCTGTGAAGAGGCACGCTCTCTTTAAAAAATAAAGCAAACAAATTTTGAATTGAAATGCAAGAATTCATTTGGGGTGGGAGGTGGGGGAGAAATACTAAAATCTCTCATTCCTTGGTTTTTGAAAAATGCCTCCCTTTTAAAGAAAACGCTCTGCATTTCCAGAAGATCTTTTTAAACATACAGTCGCTCAGTTCATAGAGAAATTGCTGGATCAAGATCTTGCCTGGGTATTTTCATAGTAAAATTAAAATGTGGAATTTTGATGGCAGTATTCTGGACATATTAAGTTAAATAATATATGTTATTAAAATTAATTTTATTTGTTAAAAAATAAAATGTGGCGTTTTGATTCCACTCCTTAGACCTGCTGCCAGCGTGTGATGGAGAAAGACCCACCTTGGCGTTTCTGCAGGATGTTATGGATATTTTGCTTCAATATGTGGTGAAAAGTTTCGATAGATCAACCAAAGTGATTGATTTCCATTACCCTAATGAGCTTCTTCAAGAATATAATTGGGAACTGGCAGACCAACCACAAAATTTGGAGGAAATTTTGATGCATTGCCAAACAACTCTAAAATATGCAATTAAAACAGGTATTGTCCCATCAGAAATAATAAAGCTCTTTTTCTTTTCACAATCTTTATTTTTTTTTCTATAAAATGTTTTCTGTTTTTTGGAGTTACAGATATTTTCAAATTTACAAAATTTTTTCATCATTTAAAAAAACAGTCATTATTAGAATGATCCTAATCAAAAGCACCGATTACAATCATCAGTGTTAATGCTTCTGAAGTTGATAATGTCAGAAACATTATGTAATTATAAATCATCATATTTTACACTGCACATATTTGTCATGGAGATTAACCACTGATGTAGAAACAATCATTTGTCAGCAGAGGCCAGTAGAAGAGAACCAAAATGCAGGGGAGGGAGGGGAGAGGGGCTATGGAAATAAACACTCAAAAAAAGGAAACATGATCCAAACAAAAGCCCAAATACTAATGTAGTGCTGAGCATTTCCTTGGCATAGGAAGGTTCAGAAATTGGACAAACCATCCTATGTAATTGTTGGTGCAGAGGGATAATATTTTGGCATTGTCTCACATGGCCAACACTTTAGATTTGAACTCCAGGTTGTCTCTATTTTCAAAGAAATGTACACAAAAGAAAACACAATTCAAACTACCTTAACAATTCAGCCACATTATACAAGAACACATGCTTCATAGCCCCTCTGAATATAAGATAAAGGGAAAAGGGGGGTGGGGGAAATCAGATATCCTTAGGGGCAATTTATTGCTTTTCCACTGTACCCTTTGTACCCTCTCCATTTATGGTGCCAGGAGTACCATTTGTTGGGTGCATTCTAAGTTTTAATTTTGTCTACACCAAGTCAGCTGTTCATCTCCCAGGTCATGATTACCCCTTTCTTTTCTACATTGTCTCTGATCATCCCTATACAAGGTGGCACTACACTTCATCAGAGCCATAAAAAGGACTGAATTTTCCAGGGGAAAGGGAGAGACCTTGTGGATCTAAATTGATTTGTGGCTAATTGATTTGGAGCTGAATTTGATCCATATCATTCTAATCAACAACAAACATTTTAAGAATGTTTGCTGTGTGATTTTAGCTCTTTGTGTGTGTGAGTGAGTGTGTGTGTATGGTGTGTGTGGGGGGGAGGGGGGTTATTTGTACATTCTTTATACCAACCGAGAGGAAAGGTTGATGCATAGAAGAAACCTTAGGAAATTAATTTACTGAATTATTAGTGTCCACTTTTGTGAGACTATCGACTTAAAACTAAATACATAGAGAAAGGAATTTAGCTTGGTGATTTCTATTAGACTCAGTTTGTGCAGTATGGTTTTTGAAGGCTTATTGGATATTATTCTCAGTCATTCATGGAGAATCCACATGATGTATATACTAGGTATCAAAGATCTTTTTTTTTTCTCCCAGCTTTTCATGTATCTGTAAGTACAAATCTGAACAATGCTTTTAATTCATTTTTGTTTGACCCATTCCCTTAACCGAATACTTAAATGTTTATAGTAAAATGCTACTTTTTTTTCTTTTTGCTACCAAACCAAGAAGAATCTATACAAATGTTTTACATCTTTGTCCTTAAAAACTGATGGTGTCTGAAATACAATTTTAAGAGTTAAGATAATGGAAATTGCAAGTCAATGAAAGTAATTCTGCCAGTCTTCCATTTAGTGTCAGGAAAACATGGATCAGTTCAATACTTTGATTTTTACCATAATGCTTGTAAACTTTTGGGCAAGTGTAGCTCTGATGCATGTTATTTAAAGTTCAGGGAAAAAATGATTAAGTTGGATTTCTAAGCAAGACATATTGATATTAATTCAATATCAATATTATTCATAACATACATAGTCTTCCCCTCTGCCCTCAAATAGCATTTTAAAGAATTAACAGCGGTCACCTTTTTTTAACTAGCAAGGTTATAGGTTTTTATGCCATAACCTGACAAGTAGTACTACTTAGGGGCTGTAAAGCAGTTACCACTTTGCTACATTAAACATTTTAATGATTCTCAGGAGATTCTTTTACAAATTGCAACTTATCACCTGATTTCTACTGAAAGTCCTTAACCTAATTTCCACTTGGGCTCCAAGCTTAGAGAGGAGTGAGGGGCAGTGAGGAAATGCTTTTAAATGATGCCTTCATGTTTTATTAAAATTATCTCTGTAAGAAATATTAGAACTGAAAACTACCAAGAACGATAGAATTCTGGAATAATTAGCCTTTGTGGGGGTCCTTCGATTTGGTGGTGGTGGTTGGGTGGTGGAGGAGTTATATGTCTTGTATCCTTTAACCAAACCCGCAGACAAAGGAATTGAAGGGTCAGGAAGTGAGGCCCCCTTGGGCGCACGTTGCCAACACAAAGAGAGCAGTTTCGATGACTTTGAGCCCCTCCCCAGCGGATTGTAGACAGGCTGTCTGTGCCTCGTACCTGGCTCATTTGCTAATCTGTGGGGAGCATTCCAGAGCCCGGAGCAGCTCTAATCTCACCTCTCAAACTCGCTGTCTCCCTGGCTGCTCCGGCTGCGGTGGCCACCTGATTCCTGGAGCAGAGCCTCCGCACAGGGCGGTGGGGGGAGCGGCGGCGGCAGCTGGATGCCAGGGCTGCGGGACGGCGGGCGAGCTCCAGGGCAGGTCTCACACCTTTCCTCTCAGAGCCCTGCCTGGATTCACCGCAGCTTGTAGAGGTCATGCAAAGGGAGCAAAATAGTATTTCTTCAGAAACCAAGAGGTCATGTTGTTCTGACCTGTCAAATGATCTCCCTCTGTATTTTCACATCATTATCAGTGAATGAAAAATTTGAGGGAGGAGAGATTCAGGGAAAAATGGGAGACCAAGGCCAAAAAAGTATATAGAAGGGAGATGGGCCATGGAAGCATCAAACTTGTTTCCAGTTTCCCAAAAGCAGTCATCAGGGGGGACTGGTCTTCTGACATCCTGGGCTACATACAACACAGGCCTTGGAATCCCTCTCAATTTTATGCAGGGGTTTTCATGCCAAAGTTTCCATAGAGTTGAATAGTGTGTGATAGGAGACACCAGATTCATGGAGAAAATGCATATGAATTGGTAGAGTAGATTAATGGATAGATTTGCTAATCCTCATTAATTTCCTCACTTTAAAGAAATGGCTTAAGGAAAGAGAGATGCGGGGGCACCAAGAGGGAGCAGAGGGCTAGGATTTCAGCTGTGAGCTCTAATGAAATGGGGAGTCAATGAGGCAGAGAGGAGCGGAGGGTTGTTCCAGAGGGCAGAGGCGTGGAGCCAGAAAGAAGGCTTTTTCACTTTCCGTGGATGCATAAACTGACAGGGTCAGAGTCACAGGGCTTGGAAAAGAGCAAAAAAGACAGACGGGCACTATGCAAGGCCACAGGGAGGTAAAACAATGGTGGAGATCGGGTTGAGAGCTGCACAAAACCCAGTCTCTCAGATGTGCTCCTTTCTTTGCCAGCTCCTATCTTTTCTCAGCATCTAATTGTCCAGCCACATGCCAGAGGCTGATAAGAGAGCACTCCAGTCCTAGAGATAAGCAGTGTGTTGACTTTGTCCCTACTTTCCGAATTGCCTTTTTTTATCTTGTTTTTCCCATGCTGGCGTGAAAGACTATCACATCCCCGGGCTTCAGACAGGTGTCCAGTAAGTGGCAGGTGCCTTTTTATCAGATGCTATTTCCATAATTGTTCATGTTTCAAAATTTTTGCTGCTAAGCAAATCACAGATTTATAGATAGGTTTTTATGGGGCAAGACATGAAAGTAGAATTCTAATGAGATACTTACCATCACATTTAAAATAATAGCCTCAAGAGTATTTAGATGTCAACCCCTTTAGAGAGTCTAAGAGAAATCCAGAAATTAATTAGATAAGCCTTGCTAATGGACTGATTGGTCCATTGACTATATCTTCATGTATCTTGTTGATAAAACAGTGATGTTGACTGTATTCATCTTTATTTTAAATCACAGCTATGAAAGAGTTCTGTTGTTTATAATTCAATATTTGGACAGAAAATAATTGACAAGAATTAGGTTTCTCCATGCCATCTTTAGACAATCATCACCTTTTGAATCCAGGGCAAATCATTCAACAGAATGTCCTATTTTCTCATTTTTGCCTTGTCTTTCGTAATCATCAGCCATTTGTCACTGATATTATTATGAATGTCGGCATGCCTGGTGGATGTCATGGTATGACTGATTCCAGAACAGCTTCAACAAAAAAGGATTTTCAGCAGCAAGAGTGTAAACAAGAAAAGCCTGTCTTTGAATAGCTTTGGACTGCACAAGCACTGTAGTCTACAAATATATTGAAAGAATGCTAGGAAATAAGCTTGCTTCCACATTGCAGGCCACATTTGTTATTTTTAATAGGGAATATTTAAAGGACAATTTTTAGAGTGTGTTTTAAGAAATACCAAAAATCCAAAATCGTCTCTCTTATTAGAGGCAATGTTCCTTTGGGATGTGTGTGCACGCACACACGCGTGCGTATTGGGTTTCTCAATATAGATTTCCTATTACTGAAGGATCTTTCAAGGTTCTTTAGCAAGAGAAATTGTGTGTATGAGATGCATTTATTTTCATTGGATGCAGTCCTGATTCTGCTATTCCATTTTATGCAGGGCATCCCAGATATTTCAATCAACTCTCCACTGGACTGGATATGGTTGGATTAGCAGCAGACTGGCTGACATCAACAGCAAATACTAACATGTAAGTAGGTAAATGTGTTTTTGTGTAATCCAGGATAATTATTAGTGAGATTCCATAGTCTTTATTCTAACTCACATGTGAAAATCTCTTAAAAGTAGTCCTTAAAATAGTGATATGGATGTCAGACGTACATCACTGTCACTCTAGCTTAACAGAATATAGCCTGATATAATTTTCATGCAAAGCTATACAACATTTTTAAACATAAAAGGGACCTTTTTTTTTGCATTTTGGATTTATAATTATTTATACCATCGAAGAGAAACGAGACTAGATGTTGTCTTTTAAATAGTGTTACTCGGCAATGTTCTTTATTTATTCAATATGATAAATGACCCTTGTGGACCTAAGCCAATAATTGAAGCTCTTAACTTTACAAATATAGAAAAATGAGCAAACCTTTTAGAAGACATAATTTCCTCTCTGCTTAATGTATAACCATAACATTTGTGAGTGTAGGGTTTGAAAAAGGAAATGGTTCTGTAAAAATTGTAATGGTGAATTATTTATTTGAGTTACGTCCGTAAAGTGTGGTTATTACTACATTTCAGGTTCACCTATGAAATCGCTCCAGTATTTGTGCTTTTGGAATATGTCACGCTAAAGAAAATGAGAGAAATCATTGGCTGGCCAGGGGGCTCTGGCGATGGGATATTTTCTCCCGGTATATATTTCAACTTTTCTTTGTGTTTCTTCTGTTATGCAATGCCCTGTTATGAACCTAGGAAATCTTAAATATCTTGTCTGTATTTTTGCTTAGGTTAAATAGGTTGTATATTGATCAAAAAAATGAATGTCATTAAGTACGAATGACCATTCTCCATGCCTCCAAGCCAACCATCCCATGCTTGAACATTAGTTATTTGTGTTCAAAAAGAGCATAAACAAATATATTTACCCAGGACTTCTATTGGGATCCGCCACACAGGATGTATGCATCATGTGGAACAAAAGAATAAAGATTCCTAATAGGAGAATTCACTCTCCGATGCTCTTCCCAAAATTAGAGAAAGGAAAAGGGTAGCTCATTTAATAAAACATTCTCTGTTTGAGAGTGCATGACAGACAGATCTACTTAATAGATGCTAAGAACCTTGTTCCTTTGAAGCAACAGGCAGAGAAGCTGATTTACACGAATTTCAAGGAGGGTAGAGAGCGCCTCCCAGACAGTTTGTTAGAGCTACAAGAGAGGGTGATGATTTCTTCAGGAATTTTCTCATTCCTTCTCTGCTTTATCGTGCCGTTCAGTCTTTTGCACCCTGCTTTTTATCACCCTCCATTGCATTCTGAGCTCCATTATTTACACCTTTCCCCAGCCAAGAGAATCAACCTGAAACAAAGGCCTGCCCTTGGTTCCCAGGGGTGTTTGTGACCTTGGTTTGATGCAGAGAAGAAACAGAAGTTAGGAAGACAGTGGGAGAAGAGTCACTGACCCATGGGAAAGAAACCTGGTGTGCAGATCATCACCTAATCAGTGGCAGGAAGGAGGTCATCATAACAGGGTGGGTGCTCTCCTGGAGGAGCCAGCGCCACACCTGCCATTGTGCCAGGCCTAGCAAAGGCCACCCTATGATCTCTGTTCAGGAAATCTCCAAAGACAAGGGGATGATGGGGTAGGGGGGAGATAAAGAACAGATGGAAAGAGGAAATGCTAAACGGCAACAGTGGTGTCAAGGCCAGGGCTTAAATCAAGCAGCTTTACCTACAAGGTCAGAGCTGCTATTTTATTTTATGTTTTTAAAGCTACAGCACTTTTTTTTTTAGGTACTGAAGGAAAACATCTTAGTTAAATTGTAGGGAAAATTAGCCTTTTCTTTTGAAGTCACTGAACACCAGCTGTGATGAATTTTTAATCTAGCCTTTATTTTGTAGAGAAGTTAGTACTTAGTTTTTCTCTGGAAAACCATCCCCTATTGAGGGATCTTTGTCATCAGTGCCTGGAACTGATGCTCTTAAGGCTTAAGGTATTGTTCATGAGCCATTAGGGTAGGGTTCAGAGATCAACTTCACTTCTACCTTTATGCTTTCTCCTCTTATAAGGGTGGTTGCGTGATTGAGTTGTCCCTGAGAGAGCCAGGAACATCCCAGGCTCTATTTTAATGGTCCTCAGGAGGGAGGAGAGAACAGCTGCTAACAGCTGCTCCTGTGGACCCTAAAAAGTTGACTAAAGGGTCTTGGGCCAGGCCTAATTTATCTGGCTGGTCTTAGAACCCACCTGCCCCAGAAAATGTACTCTCAGAAGAAGCATCCTCTCTGGCAGTTCTCCTAAGCCAAGTGTGGACTTAGGGCTTCCCCACCACCCTCATCAATGACAGGGAATGATCACAAGAAACTGTTAGACAAGACTGAAGCTTGATCATGGGGCTCCTTCCTTGGGCCCTAAAGACCCAAAAGGGAACCCACAGATGTTATGCTACAGTAATGTAACTTAAGCACTGCAAAGTGGGGAGGGGACAGAAGAAAAGGCCATTGGCAACCTGTTTCTTCTCTGCTCTCCATGGACATTACAGAGGAAAGGTTGATAGCATCCTTAATCACTGACGGATGCTTTTCTAGGTAGCAGTCAGCCTTATTCCCGGAGTGAAGGGTCTTACAATTTGAGGGGTGGGGATAGGGGAAATCATATATATTACATGCCAGAGATCTAAAAGTCCTGTTACCTGGGACTAAACATGAAGAGTTAAGTCTGTGGCTGAATATATCGCTCAGCTAGTTGCCTCACGCCTTTACCTGTAACATCCAGAGACTTCGTGCTTCATGGAAAGTCCTTTGGGATTTCTAGAAGAAATCTGTTTATATGATGTCCCCTATGCCTGACAGCCACAGAGAACTGAGCATTTGTCACTGCTCAGCAAGTCATGAAGGACTGAGGGAAAGAGGAAAGGCTTGGCTTAGTCACAATCCTTTCCTGTCTACAGGATTTTCGGAATGAGTCAAGGCTTGCTTTCACATCCTTTCTCTGGAAGCTTCATGGGCAGCAAGAGCAGGCAGGACTCGTGGATCTGTCCTCCTGCCTGTACTGCACAAAGCAGTCTGCTCTGTCCAGAGGCCCAGAAACCGCTTCATCCGTCTCAGGGCTACTGAACCCTCAGAGAATCACTGAGGTGCAAACCGAAGAGGGGAAGGCAGAGCTGGGAGCTTCTTGGATAAGTGTCCTGTGAAATGCACTTTCTTTGTGTACATCTTTCCCTTTGTCTTCTGCTCTCTTTTTTCCCCAGCCTGTCTGAAAAGAATGAGGGCAGCGGTTCTCAGTGGGAGAATTTTGCCCCCCAATTTTTCCCCCAGGGGGCATTTGGCAATGTCTGGAGACATTTTTGGTTGTCACTCTGATGGAACATAGTGCTGCTGGCATCTGGTGGGTAGAGGCCAGGGATACTGCTAAACACCGTGCAGTGCACAGCCCCCTACAAGAAGTTATCCAGCCCAAAATACTGTTAAGTGCCGGGATTGAGAAACCAGAACTGGAGTGCAAGTTCCTTTAAAAACTCCTCCATTCCCTACACAGTCAGAGTTTTAGACGGGGTGTCTGCTCAGAGCAGGTCTGACCTGGATTCTGCTTGCCCCATGTCTCTGGGGTCTGGAAAAAGTAGAAATTGTCCTCATTCTGACTGACGACAGAGCCAAGATCTGGTGGACGACTGCTCTGTATCAGGCTGCTTTCTTGCGTCAGAGCCCAGGGCTCATGAGGCAAAGATCGTGCCCCAAAGATCGTGTGGGCCATTCAGCCACATACTGAGAGCCCTTCTGCTCCTAAGCCACGCAAAGGGAAAGGAACTCAGGGTCCTCACTTAATGGCAGGGCCTGGGCGTGTTCTGCTTTGAGTGAGAGGGGGAGATAGTACTTCACTCTGCCTCATGATCTCACAGTTTCCATGCTGGCATATTCATTTGCATGCACAACAATCTGTCTTTTTGCTGGATAGCAAAAATCCTAACCTTTCCAACAATCCTGGGGGAAATCTCACTTTTCTCTGTTTATCAAACAAGACTCTACTTAACAGATACAAATTTTATTGTATGAAATCTTTGACAGCCTTAGGATGACACAGGAAAAGTAATTCAATATGAACTTAAAATTCCCTTAGTTGCACATTTCCTATAATTATAAAATAAGATTTTGTTAACTATTAACGATTCTATTTTAATGATATCTTTAGGAGGAAAGAAGTATTTATAGGGAATTAGCAAATGAGTATGATGAGCTGGACTTGGATGTTGATTAACATCAACTGATTTGTATCAGTTCAAGTGCAAGGCATTGTATGAACTGGAATGAAAAGAAATGTCTTCTACATGAGGATATAAGTAAGATTTTCCTAAGCCTCATGCTGAATGACTGCACTCACAAGCTGGGAAGGAAGGCAGCAGTTTCTCAGTTCTTAAAAGCCTCTTCCAAGAGTTCCCAGCCACAGCAGAATCAGTTGCAGTTTCCCTTAGTGACAGAGATGGGTTGTGGAGGTGGGACATCTGTCTATGGTTGGTCCCCGCGCTCCTTCTCTGGACCCTCTTAGCTGGTGCCTGAGCCTGAGGACCGAGTTCAAGGACAGCCAATAAAAAGGTCTTCTCCTGTGTCCAAGGAGGACTCTAAGTCAGTGGAAATAGGAATGCGGCTTGCATGTGAAATGATGTTGATAATGACCACGAAAGGGAATTGTGTGTTGCTGTGCACTTTAGGTGGCGCCATATCGAACATGTATGCCATGCTGATCGCACGCTTCAAGATGTTCCCAGAAGTCAAGGAGAAAGGAATGGCTGCTGTTCCCAGGCTCATTGCCTTCACGTCTGAGCATGTACGTGTTTCTCTTCTTCCCAAGTTTAAGGTTGTATTTCATAAAGCCCAGGTTTAAGAATGATGTTTGGAAATGCTTTATCCTAGGAGGTTCTCTTTCCAGAAGATGCTTTTTGGAAAAGAATGAGGGGCAGAGAACAGCTGAGTGGTACAATGGGTTGAATTTCTCTTGGAAATTTAGGAAAATTCTTAAAGAGAAAGCAGGATGTTTTTACCCGCAGTTCCTACACTTCACTTTTTAGTAGTAATGTTGTGTGTTGGGGAAGAGGGAAAGCAGAGTGATTATGAACTCATTTGGACTATTGACACTACTGTGCCTACATAACTCAAAACTCCAAAGTACCCAGTTGATACAGTCTTTGTGTTTAAAAATTCTGATCAGATATTCTAGCCTCATGGTGTCTTGAACCATGTAATGTTAACCTTTGGCAGACTTAACCACTGTAGAGAAATGGCATAGTGATCTGTCATATCTGATCTCCGGGCCAGATGTGTCTCAGCCAGTCACAGGCTCCTATGTACCACCAGACTGCTGGCCAGCCAGGATGCTGGGGGCTCTTGTCTCCCTTCTTGAATTCCAGGGCATAGTGTTTCAAATTCCTTCTTTGGCCTTCAAAGAGCTAAGGCCACCGAGGCACTGAAACAATGGCCCATCCTGTTCACTTAAATTGCACTAACAGCTCTGCGGGGCTGCCAGCTTCCTCTCACATCCAAGGTGAGCTCAAAGCCACACTGCAGCTGTGTGAGCAGCATCCCCATACAGAGCTCTCCTACCACACGGGCCTGCAGTGAACGAGAGACTGTTCTTAGGGTGTTATGTAAGCATCACCTGCTGTGTCATTCCTAAGATGGCTCCTTCACAACCTTGCCTCAAAGTAGCGTAGGGTTTGGAAAACAGCTGCCTAAAAGATGAAGAAGCCCTTTGATGGTGGGGAAAATAGGAAATGGGGAGGGAAGAGAGGGGTCTATAGGGAGACTAGAAGCTCCTGAAAGAGATATCAGTCAGGAGAAGAAGGGAATTATGGTGGGCCTCAGATCTACTATGGAACTTTTCTTTTTATGTTTTAAGGTGTGTGTGTGTGTGTGTGTGTGTGTGTGTGTTTATTACAAGGAAATTAAGGGCAAGTGCAGGTTGGAAGCCAGCGAGTACAATTCATAACCACAGCAGTAACCATGGGATAAAAACAACTAAAGATTTATGTTAACAAATTATCTTTAGCATATTGTTTTTAGTCATGTTGACCATAAACGTAGTGGCTTAAAACAGTATGACTTCGTTATCTTACAGTTCTGGAGGTCAGCATCAAACATGGGTGAGGCAGGGCGGGGTTCCTTCTGGAGACAGTAGGGGAGAAACCTTTTCCTCGCCCTTCCAGCTTCCAGATGCCACCTGCCTTCCTTGGGTCATAGCCCCTTCCTCCATCTTCAAAGCATGGAGTATCTTCAGATCTCTCTCTCTCTCTGACCTCTGTTCCCATCACCATATCTCCTTCTCTGGCTCTGACTCTCCCATCCCCTCGTTCCCTTGTAAGGACCCTTGTGATTACTTGGGTCTACCAGGTAATCTAGGATAACCCCCCATCTCAACACCCTTAATTTAATCACATTTGTAAGATCCCTTTTGCTATGTGAGGTAACATATTCCCAGGTTTCAGGGTTTAGGATATGGACATCTTTGGGGAGGAAAGAGTTATTCACTTTACTAGGCCTAGTACACCCATCATCAACTAATTTTCACTTCTCAGCTTCTCTAAGAGTAGAAAAACATGATGCATTTTTTTTCTAATTTCTGTTTCCCTACAGTGGATTTGGACCCCTACATAGTTAAATGTTATTATATTCTCAGTCTCAAAACTTCCAGATGCTCTTATATTGGGTATCTTTTTCTCTTGGCTTCTGTGCTGATTACATGACCTGAAATGAGGTTGGTCAACCAGCAATCTGCCCTGTGCTCTCTGGTTTCTGCATGAGCTTCTTGGGCTCAAGCTTCACGCAAACTGACTTAACCTTGCCCGGATAGCTCAGGTCATGTGGCCTGCAAATGATTTTGCTATGCCTTATTTTCCTGATGTTGCAAACTTTGTTTATAAGGCAAAGAAAGGTAATTCAGTTATACAACAACCATGTGATTCTCCCTCCTCTTTCTTGGATCTGTATCCACACACATAATTATGAAGAACATTTGAATTATAAACCTGCCCTAAAATACCAACTGGTTCTAAATACAGGTTTATTTTTGGCAAACAAACTGTATTTCTAAGGTATATATAACATGTTATATTTGGTAACTCTTTTACTGTTTTCAACGCAGTTCCAATATACATTAGCTCATTTGATTCTCAGGACAATCTTGTGGGACAGGCAGAACAGAGAATATTTTAAAAATGAAGAGGCTGCAGTTAGCTGTGTAGACAGAGCCAGGATTAAATGGGTTTCCTGACTCCCAGACCAGTGAGGTCCCTGCCTTGACTACCAATATAGAAACCAGATTAAAAGATTCAACAACAAAGTTTTGTACATCACAGTTCATCAACTGATTTAACATTTTCTACCTTCCTAAATCAAATTTCCACCAAGAACTTTTTCTTAATGTACTGGTGATGCTAAATTGTTGCCTACCCCAAAGAAAAAAACCCTCATTATTCCATAAGGCTGGGTTGGAGGGGGTTTTCAGAGGTTATTGAAAGCACTCCTGTGTCTCTCTGAACACTTGATCCAAATCATTCTGGACAGGTGGGTCCTTAAAAGTAAGTCCTGCCCTTGAAGCTCCAGGTTAAGAAGTAACTTGATCCTCAGGCCTGGATCCTTTGGGGCTCATACCTCAGCACCATTCCATTCCATTTGTCATTTAGTGTAGCTCCTTCCAGCTTCAGGCCAAGCCATATATTCCCCTAGTCCTTCCAGATTTTGCAATCCCTATGTCTCCACCAGCCCCAGAAACATATCTTCACAGGCTGAAGAAAGAAAATTACCAAGTCACATCTCAAATGCCTTGTCTCTAGACCAAACAATTTCCATATTTGCATGGAGTTTCCTTTCCTGAATCACTTGACCTGCAGGGAGAAGGGGTGGTGGAGGAGCTTCTGTGTGGACACTGAGGAGACAAGAGAAGCTGCTCCACATGTTTTCTCTCTTCATGCTCTTTGAGAGTCTCCAAGGCCCACGACTTTTGGGGAATCAAATGAAAGCCTCATAAAACACTTACATCAGTGCCTAGAGCACAGGAAATCTACGTAAATATGAGGTAACTTAAAACAAAACAAACAAACAAAAAATCACCCTTTGCTTTATAGATGAAGAAACCAAGTCTCAGAGGTAGAAGATACTTTGCCCAAGGTTTCATGGCCATTCGCTGGCTGAATCAGATCTAGAGCCTGTTTCCCAATAGTCTCAGCACTGCTCTTTCAACTGCTGGACCAGAGGAGCTGAACAGCACTCTCTAGCTAGCCACTCTACACTCACTTGTAGCACCTTTTCTCAAATCCTAACCACCTCCCCCACCTCCCACCCCGCATTGGCTATTCTAGTGCTAATATAATTTCCTGATCTATTGAACCTGGTCGAGTTCTGTCCTTTCAAGTGGCATTGAGAAACTTTGTCGTCTTCCAGCAGCCAATGAAACGAGAAACTTCACACATTTAGGAAAGGAAAGGTCATCCTTTATTTTCAAAATGGCCCATCTCTCTTTCTCCCTCTCTCTCTCTCTTTCTCTCAATCCTTTGAAAGTCCCAACCATGAGCTTAATTCCAAATTCCCCTTATTTCCTCATGTGACACAAGATCTTCCAGAAATAGCTTCAATGAAATGGCATAATTGCATCCAGGAAAAATGTTCATAATCATAACAGACACTGGATCTTTCAGGCCAGTCACCACAACTAACTTACTCAACTCTTCACAAGCCAGACCCAGCTCATGTCCACGTCACCCGGAGCCAGTCACCAATGTTCTGCCGAGGCCTCTCATGGCTTCAGCCCACTTCTTTGGGGAAGTGATTTTCATAGTTGCTTTGGAAGGATGTTTTTCACATAACACTATTTGAAAGGGTTTCAACTGCAAAAATAGGTCTCTTTGATGAAAAACACACACAAACTAATGGCAACCCAGGCAGCTTGGAAAAAGGCAGCTCCCGTGTACTGATTCCCATTAGACAGAAACAGCCTGACAGAGCTTTCAGTAAGTGAATCATGAGTCAGATTCAGCTCACCTTTAGCACCCCCTGCTCTGCTTTCTTTTCACTTCAGGGCCCTCATCACCCTTGTGTTTTCTCCTTTATCCAATCCCATCAAAACGTACTCTCAAGAGACAACCTGAGAGCCATGGAAATAACTGTCGAACCTAAGTGTTGCCTCTCCTGGGGGTATTTCCATTGCAACAGGAGACAAAGGAATGAGGCAACAAGGCATAAGTCCAACCACTGGCCAGTGAGACATTTTCTTTATTCCTTTGCTCAGTGATGTTGTGTACCAAGCATTGCCTCGGACACAAGGGAGACAGCAGTGAACAGAACAGACCCAGTGCTTGCTTTTAAGGAGCACACATTATACTGGAGAAGGGAAGAATAAGGAGGGGACCATCCCCTTTCCCAGTGCCCCTGAGATCACATTCCACATGGGTGACTAACTCTCCTGTCCTGGATGCTAGGTCAGGAATAACTGGATAGACTTATTTTTCTCCAGTTTAGTGGATAAAGCCCTTAAGGTTTGGAAGTGACCAGAAATGATGACAGGCCCTGCTCTGCCACCTCCAAGGACATGACCTCAGATTAGCTACTTTATTTCTTCCTTGTCTCTAAAATGGGAATTATGATACCCAGCTCACATAGTTTTTGAGAAGATGAAGTGAGATAATACATGTCAAGGCGTCGAGCACAGTGCTTGGCCTTTGGTAAGTACTCCACAAATGGCTGTTAACATTGCCATTATAACCAGCCCCCTTCTGGTGTCCCACATGGGAAAGAGTTGAGCCCATCCAGGAGGCAAGATAGAAGCAGCGTGAAGAG